CAGGAGTGCGTGCGCATACACACACACACACACACACACACACACACACACACACAAATAAATAAATAAATAAATGTTTTTAAAGTATTATTCTAGAACTAGGGGCATGAACTCTTTGACATTCCTCTTCCAAATACTGCAGTGAAATTCTTCTTGGACTAGAGACTGGGCTTCAAGACTAATTTATAACAGAATAGACCAGAATCAGTGGGGAGTAATTTCCAAGTATAGGTTTAAAAATAATACAGCTTGGGAGCCCATGAGCTGACTCAGCAGGTAAAGGCATTTACTATGCAAGGCTGATGATCTGAGTTTGAGCCCCAGAACCAACTCCACAATAATAATAAAGGAATACAGATTTTTAAAAATAACACAGCTTGTGTCTTGGGATCTCTTTCTCTCCCCCCATGTATAGATCATTCATTCTGTGAATAGCCCTGCTATGAGTAGCCTTACTCAGAGACCCATGTGGTAAGAAACTGAGCTAATTGACTGTGGTCACATGGATAACTTGAAGTGGATCTCTCAGCATCAGCCATGTCTTCAGTGACTGCAGCTCACAATATAGTTTGACTGTCACCTCTTGGGTGACGCTGCAGAACCTACCACCTAAGCCACTGGGACAATCTGTTACATAGCAGTACATAACTATCACCATAATAGCCCCTTAATGCCCACAAGTCTACAACAGCATTGAGAAATGGGACATTGTAGTAAGCTCCAGGTGGCCAGCATGAACCCACTGATGGGCATGCCTCACATGCCTCTCCCTGAAGCATGGGCATGGGCCATGGGAAGGGGTGGATGTGGCCACTAGTGGGAACTGGACAGCTCCAGGTCAACTTCATCCTGAGAGACTGTTGAATGGTTCTTCACACCTTCACCATTGGTGAGCCTTCTGGCTGTGGTTCCATCATGTAAAGGAATCCCTACAGACTGGACATTGCTGGCCACCCTCCCAAGAGCCATTCCTTGCAACTTCCTTGTTAAGACTGTCCTCTTTAATTGAAGTATCTGTTCCCTATGTGGCTCATGGTATGGTAACATCCACCCCAAATGCAGGATATGATCTTGATTGGGCCAAGAACATCTGCACATGATATTCTCAGGACAACTGTTACTCACCAAATGATCCAGTGAGGCTGAAGAGAATGATCCTGATTGCTCCTCAGAGAACATGCTTCTCTCCTTGAGCAGAGACAGTGAATCACGTGGTCGGGACTGACAAACACGGGGACAGATCCCAGCCTTCGAGGTGGAAAGAGTAGGTCTTGGGTAACAGCGCAGAACAGTGAGGCAGCTAGTGGGGAAAGGGTCAGGGAAGGGAGAGGGTAGTCATACTGTGAACAACAGTCAAGGGAGAGTGATGACCATGTTGGAGGGTCAAGAGGGAGAGAGAGTAGCCATACTGGGAGAGACAGTGAAAGGACACCGGTGGCAACACTGAGGAGGGACAGCAGCGGAACTGTGATGGCTGTCCTCTGGGAAATTCAGGAATCATTGCTGAAGCTGCAGCCATAAAAAAAGCTGTTGTTTGGGCAAGTGGTGGAAAGCCACTTCCTGGTGATGGCGCCAGCTGACTTACAACTATACAGCTTGTGAACGCAAAGATGGTCTGCTCTAATGGCTGGAAATCTCCCTTCCTGGCCAGGGAAGATCTTGCTACCTCTGGACCTCCAGAACTGGCACTATTGTCCACCCCCCATCGACCACTTGCCCAAACAATTTGATTTCATATAATGGTGAAATCAAATATCAGGGGCCCCAGATGGGACATTACCTCCTCTATCTTTTGAGCTGCATAGTCTTCAGACCCTTTGGCAGGATCAAGGAGCGGCCTGGGAGACCTGGAGCATTGCCACATACACTCTTCACTGTGTCCCCCAGAGCCCCTGGCTCCTGGGTCAGCTTGGACATTCCCCTCCTCTACCCCTGAGCACCTTCCCTGCAGGGGTTTAGAAAGAAGGGGTGCACAGCAATGACCAATACAGCCCAGCAACACAGACTACCCATACTGGACCAGCTCACAGCCTCCATCACCCCATCGATGACCTGGGGCTGGGCCAGGACACCGCTGAAAGATCTGTTACATTCTCCCAAACCACCTCCCTCCACATACAGTCCTGCAGAGCATGTCTGCTGGCCCTCAAGGAAGTGTCATCCCAGCTTCTGCAGGACTGTGAAGATAACCCACCGTCTGTTTTGACCTGTCTCCCCAACTGGCTCCAGTACTCTCCAGGGTCTATCTCACTTTCCGCAGATGCTTGGCTTACCCCCAAGATTCTTTCTTCCAGTCCTTTTCCAGGCCCCTGGGGATCTGTGGCTGCCTAGCCCACCTGCCTCCAGGGCTAAGCTGCCTCCAGCAGCTGCGAAGCCTGTTCAGCAGGTAATCAGTACATGGGCCAAGCAAGGACAATGCAGGCTCTCTGCACCCCAGCAGCTCACTGGCCCATTCTAGCCCAGCCTGAGATAGGAAGAACAGAGAGATGGGAACAAAGAGGACAAGTAGCCAGTGGGGAGAATAGTGGGACCTCTTCTTCCCTGACAGTTTTTCTTTTCTGCTTTTGCTTGGGTTTTTTGAGATGGGTCTCATGCAGCCCAGGCTGGCTTCAAACTCATTGACGCTGAAGTTGACCTTGAACTTAAGCCCTTCCGCTGTGCCAATTTATGCAGTAATGAATATGGAGCCCAGGCGTTTTTGCCATGCTCACCGGCACTCTACCAACTGAGCCCCCTACTATTCTTGTCCTTTCTCCAGTGTCTACATCTGGATGTGCTACAGTTCTAAGGCTGCCATCCCTGCCTCCCTGCCACAGTGAGGGAAGGAAAAATAGGTGAGACAGACACACCACAATAGCTATTGATACTGATGGTTGGGTCCATGGGTGCCCTTAATTATTCCTACTACTAAATAATAAATAATAAACATTGAACAAAGCCTAGAAGAGGACTCATCTGATATAATCGGGGCTCATCAGTGTCTAAGTGTCTAACTGGCTTTGTTTCCAGTGTGTACGTGCTCTGAGGACCAGCCACAGCAAATCTCTCACCACCAAAGGTCACCATCCTAATAGCTGAAGACAGCTGCGCACACAGGGTCCCGAGGCCCCTCGTGCCTATGGTAGTATCAGATGGGCATGCTCGGCACACCCAATCATTCCTCCCATGGTGTATGCAGGCACTCACCCAGTGCCCCCGGCTTCTGTGAAGGTTGCTACCGATGCTCTGCTCCTTGGGAATGGTCAAGGCCAAAGGGAGAGGCCTTACCAAAAGGCCCCCATACCAGCAGAGCCTGGGAGGAGCTGACTCCCACAGCTCTGGGCATCTGGGTCTGAAGTCAAAGTGGCCTCCTTCAGAGGCACTGGGGGAGGACACTTCCTACCTCTCCTAGCAGCTCTTGGGACTCCAGGTGTCCCTTCACTGTGGCCACAGCCCCCTATCTCCACCTCCTTCTTTACTTGGCCTTCTCCCTCTGTGAGTCTCCCTTCTGCCTCTCACAAAGACCCCTGTCATCAGACTCGGGGCCACCTGGATGATCTGACTGATCTCATCTCCCCATATTTAGTTGGACAACATCTGCAAATCTTAGGCCACACTTGGGAACTGATGGTCAGGATGCACACATCTTGCTCAGGGAGCCAACATTCACCTGAGGAACCCAGGCCTGGGCCTGCCTGACCAGGGGCCCCAGCAAGCAGACATCTCTTCATTGGAGCCCACGGCTGAGGGTCCCTGGAGGTCTCCCTGCCTCTATTCCAGGGAAGGGGCTCCAAAACTGTGCTTGCCCTTGGCCCTTATGATCTCCACATGCTATAGCCAGAAGCGCCCTGAGTGGGCGTTCCAGCCTTCTCCCTAAGCCTGGGTCACATGACAGCCTTATCCTGGGAGCACAGGCTTACAAAGGGCTCCTTACCATGGGCTAAGGTGTCCTGGTCTAGTTCTAGGGCCACCTGAAGATAAGCGATCTGGGTCAGCTTTGTAGGAGAGGTACAGCTCAGTTCCTGGCAGCCAGATTTGGGAGGCAGTGCTGGGACAGGAAACATGGCTGGGATTCCTTGTTATCTTTTTTTAAAAAATACTTATATTTTATTATTTTTTATTTTATGTATATGCATGTATTGCCTGCATGTGTGTAAATGCACCTGGGTCGCGCAATGCTCATAAAGTTCAGAAGAGAATGTTGGATCCCCTGGAACTGGAGTTATGGACAGTTGTTAGCACCATGTGGGTGCTGGGAATCAAACTCGGTTCTTTTACAAGAGCAGCCAGTGCTGTTAAGGAGGCAGTGGTGTTAACCACTGAGCCAGCTCTCCAGCCCTCCTTCTTATCTTTTACTCTTTTTCATACTCCTAACTTTTCTTGGAAGATCTCACAACTATAGACAGAACAGTGCCCAAGTCGACCCTGGGTTTCTATCCTGGTTCCATCATGTGGATTTTGGCCAGTGAGAAAATGGCAACCCTACTGTCCACCCCCGCCCTGGGGAGGGAGGAGCTTACTGCTCACATGGTGTAATCTGAGACAAAAGGTTTGCACCCAGTAGATCACCCATCACTTTTTGCATTTTCTGACTTCCTCTAAGTCCCTTTTCAGGCACCAGTGTCTCTTTCAGATCCTTTCCCTTCCTGCTCACAGGAACGAATCTCGACCACCTGATGCTAGAGAAGTGGACAAATGGATGGATGGATGTAATGCCCAGTGGTCTGTTCCATGGGAGGTGCTCCACCAACGATGGGAGGCTAAGGGAGTTTTTCCCTGCCCCCTTCAGGAATATGGTATGGCGACCACTGCAACCGCACCCCCTAGGAGCACACCAGATGGAAAACGGAAGTGCTCCGGGGTGCGTGGGGCTCCAGACTAGACGCCCGTGTGGTGCGCAGGCACGAGCGGGGCCGCCCTCCTGCAGCGCCGCGCATGCTCCGTGCCCCCCCCCCCGCGCCCCGTTCCCACGCCGCGTCGACCCGGCCCCGCCCTCTCTCTCCCAGCTTCTCCGCAGCAGCAGCGGACCCGATCGACGGTCAGTCACGCAGGACGCGCTTCCTGAGCAGAGGTGAGGTCGACACTGATCTGGGAGACCCGAGCCTCTCAGGGACGCCTTGCTGGAAGGCTTCTAGGAGGCAGCAGCCTTGGCCTCCATCCTGCCGAGGGGTGGGGGGCTGGCAGGAGGGGAGGCCCTCAGGCAGGCCTCCGGAGCGCAGGTAGGCACGCAGGCAGGAGGCGGGGGACCGGCCCATCTAAGCAGGGGTGCGAGAGGGAGGACACAGGTGGCCAGCAGGTGGGGGGAGGAGGAGCGGGGGTGGCGACAGTTGGGGACACCCTGGGCGGTGGGCCAGCGCGCCTAGAGCAGCTGGGCTGGGTTTGGGGGATGCTCCCTTCCAGGAGCGCCAGGGAAAAGGAGCCACTTGGACGCTGCAGGAGCTGCAGCTCTGTTTTCACGTTTCTCTCCTGATTTTCACCCACTTTTCCTGGAGCTGGTGTAAGAGGATTGCGTAGCTGATCTGCCCAGGTAAGTTTGGATTTTGCACCTCTGGGTGTGGGAACTCTGGGCAGGCTTGCATTGTGAGGATATGGCACGGTTACCCAGGGGCACCTGGCCAGCTGTCAACAAGCACAGGCCCTAATGGTTCCCAGACTGAGACAGGAAGCTAAAACCATGTATCGGTGACTCTCAGGAGTGGAGAGTTGTGCCTTTTCAGTTGTGTGTGTTGACCAGTGTCCAACATGACACCCCCATTCCAGGGAAGGGTAGTAAGCTTAGCCAAGCCAAGGCAGAGGAAATGAGGGTAGAATGGAAGGTGGGGAAAGGGTGTGAGGGAATGAGCAGAGCTGAGCTGAAGAGGGAACTGTGCCCACAGTTCAGGGCTAGTTATGACTAGTTCCATCTAACCAGGATCTACCAGGCACCCACTAGGAGCCAGGCTGCTGCAGACTTCTGAGATCTATCAGGGAACAAGATGTCAAAAATCTCTTCTTTGTAGCTGGACTTAGATGACTGAGCACAGACAACCATGACTGTTTTAAACTAGTAACTACATGTTAAAGGTAGTCTGGGGGTAAAAAAAGAAAAAGAAAGAAAGAAAAGTCGTCTGGGAAAGGGAAGTCCATTTGCAAATTTAGGTACTGTAGTTAGACTAGGTCTCTTCAAAGTCAAGATTTCTGCCAAAATTTGAAAGTGTCATGAAAGAGTAAGTCATGTGTTTCTGTTCTGGAAAAGCATTCTAGGCAGAAGGGATATAAAGGCCCTGACTCAGGAGAGGTAGAGCTTTAAGGCCAGTTTGACTGGGGCAGGGAGAGGAGTTGGGAAGGAAGAGGTTGGAAAGGACCGTGTGGCTTTATTATGAGTGACACAAGCAATCTTGGTAGGACTGTAGGCAGAAAATTGGACAGGCTCTGACCCACCTGTCCAAAAGATCCCTCAGCAAGCATCTGTGAGTAGTGGCCCCCTCTTTACATCTCAGTCAGCCTCTGCCCCCCACCACCCCGGAGGCAGCAGTTACAAGCGAGATCCCAGAGGACTTCGGGGGTCCAGGCTGCATGAAGGGTCAGGCCTCAGTTCTCAGCTCCTCAGCTGTCCCTCCCTGGCCATTCTACCAGGTAGGCAGGCGACAGGTGACTAAAGCCTCACAGTAAGAAAAGCAGGTGGAGATGAGAAGAGGTAGTTGGGGGTCTTTAGTTGATAGACCCCCGGGAAAGTTGCCCACAAAGTAACCTGTACGTCCCTTGTGGCTGAAAAGGCCCAAATTCCCAATGCAATGCGGCTAAGGAGGATTCTGGATGCTTTTCTTGCCGTTTGCGGGTGGGTTTCTGGTTTGTCTGGGAAAAGTGCCCCACCTCGTGGTAAAGTGCAGGATGGCGCTCTCCCTGCTGCTGGGTTGGCCCTTTTTTCTCTCAGGTTTTCCTGCAGCAGGCATCCGGGTCCTTCTCACCCGCCTCCCCCTCCCACCCTATGCTAGCAAGGCTGGATAGAGAAACCTGCAACTAGCCTGTGGGCAAGGCCCCCCGCAGGGCTGAGGCGTGGAGGAAGGGGGTGTTGAGTTCATAGTTAATCTGCTTGCTCAGGGCCTTGAGCCTAATGGATGCTCCCTGGGTGGGCCTAGCCTTGTATTGGGGAAAACCTGAGTTCCCAGCCTAGAATCATCCCAGAGCCTGTCCTGTGTTCTGGCAGCCCAAAAGGGTGGCCGGTCCAGTGAGAGGAAACTGCTGCCCAGTTCCACCAAGCTACTTCCAGGTGCTTCTTTGTCCCTGCACTAGGGTCCACAGCCACCAGAGTGGAGTTACCTGGGTTCCCCTGAGGACAGAGTGTACCCTGTCTATAGGAGCTGACATCATGGCTGACTGGTGGAGCGCAGCCCCCTCCTGTGGTCGGCCCCACCGCTTGATCTTCCGCTGATAAAATACAGGGCTGGTACGGTTCCACAGGTGGAATCTAGAGCCATGGAGCCTGGCTCTAGAGGAACACAACAGTGTGGGGAGATGAGAAATGCTGCCTCTTGTTTACAGCTTCCCGAAAATGAATAGTGACATTGCAGTACCATTATGGTAGCGAACAAACAACCTTATGTTATTTTTCTTATTTATTATTTATTTTTTATGTGAGAAGGGAGGGGGAGGGAAGGAGGAAGGGAAAACAGGAGGACAGGAGAGCCACAGCACACATGTGGAGGTCAGAGGTCAACTTTTGGGAGTTGGTTTGCCTTCCACCTTGTTGGGGTAGGGTTCCTCCTGTTTCTACAGTCCTGCATGCTCCAGACTAGCTGACCGGCACGCTTACAGGTGATTCTGTCACTGCCTCCCCTCTGGTCTAAGGAGTGCTGTGATTACAGATTTGCAGCATAACATCTTGTTTTTTCTGTGGGTTCCAGGGATCGAGCTTGAATGCCAGACTTGTGTGGCTAGCGCTCTTATCTGCTAAACCATCTCCATGGTTCCATGTTTGCATTTCAAACAATCATTTTAACCTGAAACATTTGTAAGTTTGGGTCATTCCTCTCCCACACGCCTTTAGTGTTGCAGTGTCCATAAGGAAATGCACATATGACTTATGGGTATCCAAATGATCACAGGAGCCCCTTTCTCTTTGAGTGTGGGTGTGGGTGTGAGTGGGTGGACATCATGTGTGTGCAGGGAGACCAGAGGTCATTGTGGAGAGATCTTCCTCAACTGCTGTCCAGCTCAGGCCCTCCTGAGCACTTTATGGGCTGAGCCATCTCCCCAACCTTCTGTCCCTTCTTTCTCATTGAGGTGACAGTCACATAAGCTAAAAGGCATTTAAATATTTTATTTTTTTTTAATTTTATGTGTATAGGTGTATGTAAGTGCACTGCATGTATCTAAGTGCAGTCACGTCAACCACTGCTCACAAAGATCAGAGGAGGGTGTTGGAAACTCTGGAACTGGAGTTAGGGATGGTTGTAAGCCGCCATGTGGTTGTTGGGGATTGAACCCAGGTCCTCTGCAAAAGCAGCCAGTGTTCTTCACTGCTGAGCCATCTCTCCAGCCCCAAAGCACCATTTTAAAAAAAAACTTTGGGGGCTGGAGAGATGGCTCAGCGGTTAAAGGATGCTGGTTGTTCTTGCAGAAGACCCGGGTTCGAATCCCAGCACCCACATGGCAGCTAACAACTGTCCGTAACTCCAGTTCCAGGGGATCTGATAGCCTCTTCTGTCCTCTGCTGGCATTGCACGAACTGTGCAGGGGCTGGAGAAATGGCTCAGTGGATGAGAAGACCTGGGTTCAAATCCCAGCACCCACATGGCAGCTAACAACTGTCTATAACTCCAGTTCCAGGGGACCCAACAGCCTCTTCTGTCCTCCGCAGACATTGCACGGCACGGGTGCACTTACCTACATGCAGACAATACACACATACACATGAAATAAAAATAATAAAAATATTTTTTTCTAAAAAAACTGTGTGGCGACATTCAGTGTGCTATCCAATCCTTCTTGTATCCAATTCCACAGCATTGTCCTCACTCCATTGTCCATAAACCCCTGGACTCTCCATCCCCAGGCCCCCAGCCGTAGGCAGTCAGCTTTCCAGCTATATATTTGCCTCTTTTGAACTCGCCATGTGTTTTATAAAGATTTGGGGGATTATGTCTCAGAACATAGTGACACTGGGGCAAATGAAAGGCAGAGAGAGCATAGCCACATGGGGCCATGTGGACATGCACTCAGGGACAGGGTAACAGCAGCAAGTGGGAACTGTCAGGGCAACTTATGTATAACGGGGGTGGGAGGGTCCCCTCTGGGTTGGCTAATTTGAAAACTTTTGTGGTCTCTTGGACATAAGGACCCCCTAGTTTTCAGGTATCTGGTCCCAGAGTGGGAACCTGATAAGGAAGCAGTTGGGATTAGGTGTTTAGTGACCCTAGAGACTGGGACTCTGATAAGAGGACATAGTGGGAATGGGGGCTTAGCAAGCTGCCTATATAAGACAGAAAAGAGATTTTAGCCACAACTTTAAAACTAGGTCAAGACAGCTCTTGTGAAATACCATATTACATCATATATACAATATGTGGCCTTTTGTGTTGGGATCTGGCATTTTTCACTTGGCAAAATATCCCCCAGGGTTCATCTGTGTTGTAGCATACATCAAAATTTCCTTCCTTTTTATGGCCAAATAATACTCCATTGTTTATATACACCCATGCTGTGTTTATCCATTTGTCTGTTGATGGATATTTGGAATCTTTCCACCTTTGGACTAATGTGACTAATGCTGCTCTGAACGTAGCCGTATAGGTTTTTCTTTAAATGCCCTTTTTCAGTTACTCTGTTTCTACTCAGTAGAAGAATTGCTAGGTCATATGGTAACTGTGTTTAACTTGTTGAGGAACCATCCAAATGGCTTTTTTTTACTTATCTGTGCGTGTGTGTGTGTGTGTGTGTGTGTGTGTGGTATATATGTGTGGATGTGTGTTCACATGTGTGAAAACACATCTTTGTGAGCCAGTGCCCATGCACATGTATGTGGAGGTCAGAGGTAGATGTCAGATAACTCTCCACATTATATATGGAGGTAGGGTCCCTCTCTTGAACTCAGAGATAGTCAATTGGGCTAATTAGTGTAGCTAGCCAGCTTGCTGTGAAGATCCTGTCTCTACCTCCTGTATGCTGGGATTACAGACAGGCCACCACCCCACCTAGCACTTAACAAGGGTGGTGGAATCCAAACTCCAGTCTTAGCACTTTACCTACTGAGCAATCGCACCACCCTAAATGATTTATTTTTATGTTCGTATATGAGTGCTCCTGTGTATGAAGATTAACATGCACATGTGTGAGCATACATGTGGAGGCCAGAGGATGACCTCAGATGTTGCCCCTCAGTAGCCATCGTCCTTGTTTTTCTCAGACAGTTTCTCTCATTTATCCTGGAGCTCACCGAGGTTAGGCTGACTGGCCACTGAGCCCCAGGGGTCCACCAGTCTCTGTCTTCCTAGCTCTGGAATTACAAGTGTGGGCCACCAGGTCTAGCTTTTTTACATTAATTCTGGGGCTTAAACTCAGAACTTATGCTTAATAGGCAAGCATGTTATCAGCTGAACCAGGTCCTAGCCTACAGTTTATAGAAACCTAGCCAAATGGTTTCTATAGTGTTTTTTTCCCTTTAACTTTTGAACACTATTAGTTGGCTTTTTATTACAATGAGAAAATGCCTGATATAATCAGTTTATAAAGAGAAAAGGGTTGTTTGGGTTCACAGATTTGGAGCTCTCAGTTCCTAATTGATTGGCTGTGATTTTGAACCTGTGACAAGACAGTGCATCATGGCCAGAACACACCAATATGGCACAGAAAAGCCACTTACTCCATCATAAGAAAGCAAAAAAGGAGGGGGAAAGGCCAGAATCACACTGACCCCTTTGAGAGCACAGTGAGGAGGACGTATAAACCTCCCAGTAGGCCTAAAGGTTCTGTCACCAATTATGAGACTTGATCTTCATTGTCAGAGCTGGAGAGATGACTCAGCGGTTATGAGCACTGGCTGCTCTTGCAGAGAACCTGGGTTCAGTTCCACGCACGTATATGACTGCTAACAACTGTCCATAACTCCAGTTCCAGGGAATCCGATGCCCTCTTCTAATCATCATGGGCATTACACAAAATGGGTGCACTTACATACATGCAAGTAATACACTCATATACATAAAATAAAAATAATAAAATATTTTTAATAAACATGCACAACGGGCTGGAGAGATGGCTCAGAAATTAAGAGCACTGGTTGCTCTTTCAGAAGACCCAGGTTTGAGTCCCATCACCCATGAGGCAGCTAACAACCATCCTAACTCCAGCTCCAGGAGATTCTCTTCTGGCTTCTGTGGGCACTGCACACATGTGGTACATTTACATTACATACTACACAAAACTCATACATATAAAAGAAAAATAATAAAAATTGTTTTCTAAACTCTTCATTGTTGGGGCTGGATAGGCTATTCAGCAGTTAAGAACACTTACTGTTCTTCCACAGGGGCTGGGTTTGATTTCCAGAACCCACATGGCAGCTAACAACCATCTGTAACTCCAATTCCAGGGAATCCCACACCATGTTCTGGCCTCTGCAGGCATTGCACATATGTAGTGCACTTACATGCATGCAGGTAAAACACTCATACACATAAAATAAAAATAATAGGGGCTGGAGAGATGGTTCAGTGGCTAAGAGCACTGACTGCTCTTAGAGAAGACCCGGGTTTCAATCCCAGCACCCACATGGCAGCTAACAGCCATCCATAACTCCAGTTCCAGGGGCTTCAACACCCTCCTCTGACCTCTACGGGCATTGCACGACACAGGTGCACTGCAGGCAGGCAGGACACATATATTTAAATTTTATTTATTTTTATGTCTATGAGTGTATTGCCTGCATATGTGTTAGTGCACCCGTGTCGTGCACTGCCCTTTGAGGACAGACAAGGACGTCAGATCTCCTGGAACTTGAGTTATGGACAGTTGTTAGCCTCCATGTGGGTGCTGGGATTCAAACAGATCTGCAAGAACAGCCAGTGGTCTTAACCATTGAGCCATCTTGCCAGCCCCAATAAAATATATATATTTTTTTAGTCTTCATTGCCAACTGGACTGGATTTGGAATTACCTCAGGGACACTTCTCTGGGCATGTGGGTGAGGGCATTTCGAGAGGCTTAACTGAGGAAGGTCGATTCACCATAAATATGGGTGGCATTGTCCCAGGGCTTGGGTCTTGGACTGAATGAAAGGGAAAAAGAGAAAGTAAGCTGAGCACTGGAATTCATCTGTTTTTGTTTCTTTGACTGAACACAGGGTGACCAGCTGGCTTATGCTCCTGCCATCATAGCTTCTTCCCGGTGATGGACTGTGTCCTCTCAAACTGTGAGCCAAAATAAACCCTTTCTTCCTTAAGTTGCTTTTGTCAGGTATCTTGTCATAGCAATGAAAAAAGTAACCTAACCAATGCACCTTCCAGTATTGCTTACCCTGAGGACTGACACTCCAGTGTTTGGGCCTTTTGTTGACTTTAAGATTCAAACAATAGCAAACATTGTGAACTGCGCAGATAGGCAGAAAGACTAGTGTAAGGAAGCCCAGGCTTAGCAGTGATGACCATTTTTGCCTTGTTTATGGTTTCTTGTTGTTGTTGATGTTGTTGTGCATGTTGCTATTGTTCAATATGCTTTTCTTTTAAATTTTTATTTGTTATTGTTTGGGGAAAGGGTTCTCTGCTTCCACCTGTATGTAGGTTCCAAGGATCTAAACTCAGGTTGCCAGGCTTGCAAGGCAAGTGCTTTACCTGCTGAGGCATCTTTCCAACCTTCAATATGCATTTCTTAAAAAGGATATTTTCTGCTGTGCCCCAGTGCCATTATCCACCCAATACATGAGCACTGATGCTTCTACCCCTAATGGCCACTTCAGAGTCCCCATCATCCTTAGTGCCTTTGCTGACTCTGTCATTCACATTGGCATCTTAGAGGACTAAATCTCTTTCATCTGTAGAATGGACTTCCAGCCTCCTTTCACCCTTGATACTAGTTCACTGAGACTGTGCTGGTTGCCTGGCGGAAGTGTACACCTTCTGGATTAGCTGGATCACACCCTTGTTGTACCTGGCTGTCACCTCTGGCCCATAGCTCCTCTGAACTGTAGACATTGAGTCCAGAGGTTCAGTTGAGTTCAGATTGAGTTCAAAGGCTGTATTAGGGTGGAGTTATATTCTTGTGGCCAGAGTCCTTCCCCTGTATCCTGGAAGCAGGTCTGCCCCATTCTTTGCTCCACATTAAGTTTAAGAGGTCACAGTTTACCGTGTCATGTCCAGTCTCCCTCAGTCTTTCACCTAATGGTTCTAGTATCTGTCCCACATTAAGGGTTCCTTTTTGTCTGATTAATAGACGCTTCCTCATCAGAAATACAACTTTTTATATTTGATCAATGTTGATTGACAGTGCCTAGGATGCTAAGGGATGTAAGGGCACTTTTTAAAAAAATGTTTATTATTTCACTGGGTGAGGTGGCACACACCTTTAATCCCAGCACTCGGGAGGCAGAGACAGGCAGATCTCTGTGAGTTCGAGGCCATCCTGGTCTACATAGTGAGTTCCAGGACAGCTGGGGCTACAGGGAGACCCTGTCTCAAAAAGACCAAAAAATGTTTAGTATTTCTTGCATGAGTACTGTATTTACATCATTTCTATCCCTCCCTCTCCCTCTCCACTTCCCCTCTCAATTTATCATCCTCTTCTTTGATTATTGTTACCTATACATATACATAATATATATTATATATATAATGCACTGCACTGTGTCAATTTAGTGTTGTGTATATATGTTCAGGGTTGACCATGTGAAATTAGATATCTCCTCCTTGGAGAATACTGACTTACTTCATACTTTCTTTTTGTTGTTGATTGCCCATAGCTCTTCATCTAGAAGGGGGACCTTGTGAAATTTTCCTCATCCACACTGGCGTGTGAACTGTTGGTGTCATTACACAGGTCTTATTTAGGCACTGATGCCTGATACTCTGGGCCAGGTGAATATTATAACTTCCTTGTATTCCCTGGACTCTGCCTCCTTTCCCTCTGTAGTGTCCTTGTCATTGGCAAACAGAAGCTGTAGTCACCCACCAGGACATAAACTTCTCTTGACCCACTGCCCCTCTTGGCCCCCTCCTTGTTTCTCTGCTGCTCTATGCAGGACATTCATTCTGTTGATCTCAAATAAGATAAAACAGCATTCTTGGAGTAACTGGTCATTGACAACTGATGTGGAGAAGTCTGAGGCTAAGTTGATTTTTGTCTACTCTGTTCACCCTCTTTGTGCCCTTGGAATGAAAACCAACTTCCCACTGTTTTCACTTGGTCTCATCCTTTGTGCCTGTTCTCAATAGCACAAACACCCAGCTGGCTCCACTGAGGGAGAGGTGCATGTCCTGGGCCTGTTACTCTCTCTGCTCCCTTGAAACCACATCAGACTTCTCAACCTGACATCACCTCTACAGGCATTGTATGACACTATACACTTAGACACATGCAGACAATACACTCATATGCATAAAATAAAAATAATAAATTAAACAAAGTGATCATGGGAGCCCTGGCTCTTTGCCTACTGAATTGGGAGACAGAAGAGCCTGGAAGCTCAATTTGGGAATGTGTCGAGGGCTGCATTGCATCCCTACAAAAGATAGGTTAATATCCTATTCCCAGCTACCTGGAAAGATACCGTCACTTGGAATAGGGCTTTGCGGATGTAATCAAGGTACGATGAGGTCATATTGGAGTAGGGCAGACCTAACTCAATGAATAGTGTCCTTATAAAACAAGGGAAATCTGGATCCAAGCACACAAAAAGAAGACAGTCATGTGAAGATACAGACCCTCCCCCCCAGCATGTGGTACTTTGCTGCAGCAGCCCGACCAAACTATAAGGATGGGGTGGTGATCAGTGGCCTCTTCTTTCAAGGAGACTATAGGTACTGAATCCATGGACCTCTCAAGAAGCAAACCATCTTTCCCTCTGCTCATTCTCACTAACACACACCACAGCTTTGCCTTGCTTGCTGTCATTTGACAAGGAAATCCAAGGGTTTAAAACAAGCTGCAGTTGGCTTTTGAGCAGCCTGATCTCATTGGGCTCTTTATCTTCCCTCAGCCTTTCAGCTGTGGTGTGGTCAGAGCCCTGACGATGGCGGCCATTCTCAGAGCAAAGTCCAAGGTAAGTTGGGTAGCTTCTCCCTCGCTGCCCCAGAGCAGTCTCTGTTTCCTGCTCTGCATGGATCCTGGGACTCTCGGGCCTTTGGCTGCCTTCCACTTCATGCCTCTTTCCTGAGTTTCATGCACTGGACTTTCCACTTATGTCTGCTATTTTGCCAGAGACAGTGCTGCTTGCAGCTGACCTTCTGGTTGCTGAGCTCTCCTGGGTAGGGGGACCCCATGTTTTCTTGCTGTTGGCTCATCAGACTGAATTCCCTACCACATAAATGGCTTCTTTTAGGTGTCATTATCTTTCGAGGATGTGTCTGTGTGCTTCACAAAGGTAGAATGGAAGCTTCTGACTCTCAAACAGAGGATTCTCTACAAGCAAGTGATGCTGGAGAACTACAACAATTTGGTGTCTGTGGGTAAGTGACCCTACCACATACACACACCTCGTCCCACGTACTCTGCCTCTAGGCTCTCATTTTGAATTTCCTTGCTTGTTTACTATGAGCACAAAAATAAATACATTTCTCCACCAGACTCGTAACTTGTTGTAGGTCAGGAGGTATGACCACAATAGCTTTCCACTAAACAGATTGGACTTGTAAGTGCTTCAGAAAAATTTGTAGGCCTAATAGATTTCAGTAATGACCTATCAGACTAATTTGGTACATAAAACCATAGATTAATGAAGCATAGTTCTACTTGAAAGATAGATATCAATTACACTGGAATATTTATATATTTATGCCAGCAAAACCAAGATTCCCAGGCTCAGTGAGTAGAAGAGCTTGAAAGCACTAAGCACTAGCCAAGCTGGGGTCTTCCTCCCTGCTGGAATCTTCCTGGCTGAGATGGTTTACTCACTGCCTTTGCCATAGAGGTGTGTGAAAATGAGCTGTCCTCCATTTTCTTCCTGACTGGACTACTCCTGTCATTTGACCCCTTGGAGGGAGACTAGTTCCTTCTCCTAGGTTCTTTCTGACCATCAAGACAAAGATAGGGATACATCTCCTTTCCAGAAGACTTGTGGAATTCCTAGTTTAACTGTGAAACATGGTGCTTCCAAGCACATGACAAGGAGTGATGTTTCTCTGGACCTTCACAGTGTGTTCTGGAGAGTTCTTTGCTCTCTGAACACACTAAGGCAGAGCTGTGTTCAGGAATGACTGTGTCCTTTTGTAGAAGAATGCTGATGTACTTTATTTCCATGAACAGGACTTGCTGTCACCAAGCCTCACATGGTGTCCCAGCTGGAGAGAGGTGAGAGGCCCTGGGTTGAAGAAGGCAGAGCCGGGACTGCAGCAGGACCCTGTGCAGGTGAGTCTGGGACACCAGGCCAGCTTGCTGGAGTCAAGGAGAAAGAACAACTGAGGGTGGTGTGGACTCTGGCATTTTGGATCCTCTTCGGGGATTCAGTCTCCCCAAGGCTCCCCTCTGTCTCATCCTGGTACTGAGTGAAAGGAGACTATGCCCCTTGCTGTCTCCCACCATCTACACCCCTGTTAACAGCACATTCTGTCTCTGTGCTCTCCCTTTGGCCCACCTGATGGTTTTCTGCTCATCAGTCGGTTAGGAAAATGAAAATGGGAGAACCCTCAACAGAAGCCCAGGGAGGGGAGGCACTGCTAATGGCACTCTCTGTCTTTGCAGATGCAGTAAACAGCAGTAGCAATACAGTGGCTTCAAACCCAAACCCTTCTGGAAGAGGTCTCCTTGGAGACACCATCAGAAGGCCGCTCACCTTCAGGCACAATCAGAAGAAACACATTGGAAGGCCACAGTACCCCAGAGGCCCGGATAGGCGATACCTGTGTCAGCAGTGCGGAAAATCCTTCAGCCGCAGCTCCAATTTGATCAAGCACCGTGTCATCCACAGCGGCGAGAAGCCCTTTGAGTGCAGCGACTGCGGCAAGCTGTTCCGTCGCAGCTTGGCCCTGCTGGAGCACCAGCGCATCCACACCGGAGACAAGCCCTATGAGTGCGGCGAGTGCGGCAAGACCTTCACTCGTAGCTCCAACCTCGCCAAGCACCAGATCATCCACAGCACCGAGATGCCGTTCGTCTGCCGCATATGTGGGAAGGTGTTCCGCCGCAGCTTCGCGCTGCTGGAGCATGCCCGAATCCACAGCGGCGAGCGGCCCTACGAGTGCGGCGAGTGCGGCAAGTCCTTCAGCCGCAGCTCCAACCTCATCGAGCACCAGCGCACGCACAGTGGCCGGAAGCCCTACGTCTGCCCCGAGTGCGGCAAGGCCTTCAAAGGCATCTCGCAGCTCATCCACCACCAGCGCAGCCACAGGGGGGACAAGCCCTTCACGTGCCGGCAGTGTGGCAAGGCCTTCCGTGGCCGCTCCGGACTTAGCCAACACCTGCGGGTGCACAGCGGCGAAAAGCCCTACGAATGCAGCGACTGCGGCAAGACCTTCGGCCGCCGAGCCAACCTCTTCAAGCACCAGGCAGTGCACGGCGGGGTGCTGCTGGCCGACCATCCCGACGGTGGGAAGGTGCTGGGGCGTGGCTGCATGCTCCTGGAGCCCAGCAGGCAGGGTCCTCACGAGGGTGCGGAGCTGGGTGGAGAGGGCAGCTCTGCGGAGCCCCAGCCAAGCAGCAGCACCATCACCAGCAGCTGCTGCAGCAGCGGCCCCACCAGCAGCTGCTGCAGCAGCGGCCCCAATGGCCAGAAGTCCTATGTGTGTGAGCAGTGCAGCCAGGTCTTCCTCTGCAAGTTGCAGCTGTGTCGCCATCTGCGCCTCCACGATGATGATGAAGAAAAGGCCCGCGAGGAAAAAGCTCGTGAAGAAAGGGCCCGCAAGGAAAAGGCTCGTGAAGAAAAGGCCCTCGAGGAAAAGGCCCGACAAGAAAAAGCTCGGGAGAAAAAGGCCAGCGTCGACCAGCCCATCGCTGGCCCATCAACCTCAGACGGAAAAGGGCCAATCAGCCAGCATCTGGAAGCTCAGCCTGTGGAGGAAAGCGACAGTGAAAGCAGTGATGACTGCATCCTATGGGATGAGAGGATGCCTAGTGCAGCCTCACCCTGAGATGGGGAAATGAAGCAACTCAGAGTGGCAGGCTGCCCCCCCCCCAGTGCTATCTACCCTAGTCCTTCCCTGGTGGGTGGAAAACGAAGGCTTCCTCCCCAGTCATTGATTATGCCTAGAGACTGCAAGGGAAGGCTCATCAGTGAGCCTAGGCAGGGTACTCCTGCGTGCGTGAACGTGTGAACATGTGCATGAATGCGTGTGTGCATGTGTGTGTGAACATGTGAATGTGTGCATGAATGGGGTCTCCAGGTGAGCCAGTTTGTGGATTTCAGAGTTGGTCTCTCCCATCCACTCCAGAAATGTCTGATGTGGATAGGAGGGAAGCAGCTGCCTGAAGCCAACTCTGAGCACAGTTAACTTTGAGTTTACAGAGGGATGCCCCATGTGCTCTCTCATGTTATATGTTAGTGTGGTTACTAGGGTAGCCACTGCCCCCCCCCTTAAGAGTTGTTTATGTTTCTGGGTCAAAGATACTAAAAGCACTTTAATCCATTAAGAGTATAAATTGAAGGGGGTGTGAAATTAGCTTGCAGGAAAGACACACCCTGCTGTCCTGGAGCACAAGCTGGTGTATGCTTGAAAACTTGGACCCTATATGGGTGTCCCCCTGTTGCAGCTTGGAAGATCTATGCCAAACATGTCATATGAGATAGTGGCCCTGCAAAGAGGGCTAACATCTGAGACCCTGAGCGTTCACTATCTGGGAAAGGAACCCTTTTTCTCTGGTCCCTCATACGCGCAGAGTCTGGGCAAGACATAACATTTGTACTCCTGGCACACTGCTGACTTAAGTCGCCTCCTCATCTTCCTTCCTACCCAAAGAAGGCCACTCTGGCCTTTGTGCACCAGCCCCACCCCCTGCCCCAGTGCCTAAAGCTTCCAGCTTATCTGCTCATCCCTCTTCAGGCTTCTCCATGTGGTGGCAACAAGTTAGAAATTTTCACTGCGGTGGACCCTGAAGTAAATCTGGCCACTAGGGCAGCCATCTTTCAGATGACATGTCTTAGAATAGTAAAGTTGCCGTTGATTTTATTTAGGGGTAATATAAGTTGAAAATTTGAGATAGTATGCCACATGAGAGTGTTTGGCAATTGTTCCTTTATAAAAAAAGAAAATCCCTCAGACAGAGGGTGTGGCTCAGAGGCCCTGAGGTCCATCCCTGCCCCCATTCTCTGAGAAATGCTCAGGCTAGAGAAAGGGGCCTTCCCAGGGCCACACCTGATGAGTGTGGCAGCACATCTGGCCCCTCTTGTCCTTGTGATGACGTGACCCATCCCCTTCCTTTCAGCCCTGCAGAGACAGAGTAATCCCTTCAAATAGTGCTTTACTGAAAACCAAGAGGGAAGTCTAAAGGGGAAGTTTATGGCGGTCCTATTACACCTTTGCTGTCCCAGGAAGCCCAGGAGTGCTATACCTTAGTACTCCCAGCCCAGTATCCTGGTCAGCAGGGCTACCTTCCAGCTTTCTTCAGTCCCAGGGGAGAGGGAGACTTCATTATACAGTGTACCCTGAGGGCAGGTGGTAGATGAAGTGGAAGCTGCTCTTGGGGACTCTGGAGGAGTGTGTACCTTCCCTGCCAGACAGATGAGGTTCAAAGACCTCTGTCTCCTGCACAAAGTGTGGAAAGACCTGAAAATCCAGGATGCCACTTGGAGTCCTGGTCACAAGGATAACTCCAGAACACAAACATGCGCGCGCGCGCACACACACACACACACACACACACACACACACACACGTTTTATGTATATAAAATGTTTTACATAAGTTCTACTGTTCTTGTAACTTGAGCTTCTCTGTGCCCTCCAGTAGATCCCCGTCTCCTTGTCCTGTGATTGCCTTCTTGTCTGTAAGCCTGCAGCTGTGTGTTGTGTTCCCCTGTGTCTGCACTCTAAGCCCAGTGCTGGGCAGTAGTGAGTGCCTGTGAAAAGAGCATTGCTCTCTTAGCACGCTGGACTTCGACTTTGTAGTAGTTGGCTCCAGCAGCTGCTGGAGGCAGTCCAAAGTATCTGCTGCTTTGGTTTCCAGTTGAAAAGAAGTATTAAGAACAGTGTCTTTTAAGTGCCTGGTGAGATAATTGCTCAGAGGATTTCTGCTAGAGCTGGCATGGATACAGGAAGCCAGGCCCCATGCAGATCAGGTGCCCATGGCAGAAGGCTCTGTTTGGGCAGAGCTCTTGGATGCTGTTGGATGTCTGTTTCCATGGCTCTGGGAAGCAAATGATGTAGATCTTCCAAGACAGTCATCAGCATCTACACCCAGAGGTGACTTGCTACAGGAAGGGTCATAAGCAGGCATTTTCAGTGAAAGTCAGGTCTGCCAGGAGAAATTCGGAGTACTGTGTTTTGATGATGTTGGAGTAGCCTGATATGCTTCAGGGTCCCCAATGGTTGCCTATATAAATGGCAACATGTCTTTTTGTCAGTTCTTAATCTAGTTTAGCTCCTGTTACTAGATATTTTCAGTTAGTTGGAAGTAGTGATTTCTCTCAGGTATGGTAATCAGGTATGCAACATGAAAAGAACGGGTTTTTCATGGGATAAAGTAAGAGTACCCAGAAGGGACACTTGTGCTTTTCCTCATATGGTGCCTGGAAAAGGAGCCCTACTCCTCATGCTAGGTGAGGAATGGGGTTGATCGCTCTCATGTGTGTTTTGAGGGACAACTAGGGTATAAAGGCTTAAGCTATTGAGAAAACTCCTGCTGCTTTCTAGTCCCTCCTCTTCTTGTCTGTCCTCCGACACTTCACCCTTGGACTCTTTTCCATTTGAAACTGTGGGTGCTTCTCAAAAGAGCTGTATGAATGCTATAGCATCATCCCGGTGCGGCTGGTAAGTAGTCCCATCTAAATTCATTGCGAGATGCTATTGTTCGCATTTCTGTTGCTTAAAAATAAAAGGGTAGGCTACCAGGAAAGACACCCCCCCAGTGGAGCAGGGCTATTCCCAGGGTTAAACAGACAGGTAGTGGTTAAAGGTCATGATAAGGCTTAATTCCAGGCCTCCTTCCCAGGGTCCCACACTGTGACTCTGAGACCTTGAAGGGAGCACAGCCTGGTCTCTTAACAGACAGTCCTATCAGTCGCCTGCTTTCTGTTTTTGTTACCACTGCCAAATGTCAGACAGCTAGGGTATAAAGGCTTAAGGTATTGAGAAACTTAGCCACCCTTGCCAGTGTGTAGAGGGCAGCTTTTCCGACAGAAAACAAAATAGAGGGACTTGGGGGGGGTGAAAAGTGCCTGGTTGGGGTTCGAGGGGTGTGGTGTGTTGGGGAACCCCAGAAGACTGAGGTTTCTCTAGGATGGTTCTGAGTCAGAAGCTCAATTAGTCAGGAGTTTGAAGCACCTAGGATAGCAAGTACAGAAATTTGGACTCTAGCTGGTCGCAGGTGAGGAGCAATTTTCTTAAACATGAAACAGTCATTCTGCTACTGAGAAAGAAAGGTTGGTTTAAATGATTGCTGCCCTGGGGTTGTGGTCATCTGGATAGTCTTGAGATCTGTGAACATGTGCATCTGGGTGGCTGCAGTCGGCCACCCATGACGAGATAGTGTGGGAGAGGATGGAGGTATCCCATCACCTTCCTCAGTTCCCACTTGCCCTGGAATTTGTGGCTGGCTTCATGTTTTTGCTGCCCCAGTGCATACATGACTCCACAAAGCAATGACCGTCTAAGATTTCTGGATGCCTTCTTTTGAGGGAGGGGAGGTTACTGTTTTAAGCCTAGGTCTCCCTGTGTAGCCCAGGGTGGCCTTCAATTCTCAATCCTCCTGCCTCCTAAGTGCTGGGATTGCAGGAATGGGCCACCACATCTGGCTTCTGTAAATTCTTATGTTCTTGTATTGCAAGTAGCTTCAAGTTCAAGGCCTTGAACATCCATAAGGAGCACAGTGCCTCCTTTTGTGTTCAAAAAGGTTAAACCTAGTCCTTCTCCATCACCTAGGAACACTGAGAGCAGAACTGTAGGCCTACTGTAGATTTGGAGGCTCCTGAATTATTAACTTTCTTTGGTAGATTTAGGGAAGTATACAGTAGACATATAGTAAGCTGTAAAGTTTTCAAGTGTGTGATTGGATGAGTTATAACTGGTGTCAGTAGTCCTAAAACCATCCCTACTATCAAGATAGTGAACATACAAGCATCTTAGTGCCCCAACTATCTCCTCCTTTCAGCTCCTCCCTGCCCTTAAAATCACTGCTTTCAGTCGCTAGAGGTTAACTTGTATTTTCTAGGCTTCTCTGTAAATGAACTCGACAGTGTGTGTGTGTGGCCCTCTCAGCATCATTCTTTTGAGATGTATCCAGGTGGTTGTGTGTATATCAGCACTTTGTTTTTATCCCTTTGTATAAGTGAACCCCAATACCCGTTGATGCCTGTTAATGAATATTTACATTTTTTTCCAGTTTGGGACCATGACAAATAAAGCTGCTATGTATATTTGTATGCACATTCCAGTGTGGATGTTTTCATTTCCCTTGAATACATATCTAGGAGTGGAATTGCCAGCTCATATGGTGACACAATGACTTTTTGAGGAACTGCCAAACTGTTTCCTAAAGCAGTTGCACTATTTCACATCCCCATTACCAGATGAATGAGAGTTCCAGTTTCTCCCCACCCTAACCAACACTTGTTATTGTCTGTCTATTTTAGTCTAGCCATCCTAGTGTGTGGGAAGTTGTATCTCATTGTGGTTTTGATCTGCATTTCCTTAGTGACTAAAACGTTGAACATATTTTCATGCTCTTGTTGGCCATTCATACTTCTTCATGAAATGTGTTCATTTCTTGCCCATGTTAATTGACTTGTTTGTCTTCTTACAAAGAGTTCAAGACACCAGTCCCTAGTCAAATGTTTTTACAAATATATTCTTCCTTTATCAAATGTTGTTTAAATATTTTATTATTTTTCAAAAATTTTTGTGTGTTTGAGTGTATTGCCTGCATGTGTGCAAGTGCATCCATGCCATGCAATGCCACAGAGTTACAGACAGTTAGATGCCATCTGGGTTCTGAGACTCAAACCTGGGTCCTCTGCAAGAGCAACCACTGTTAACTGCTGAGCCATCTCTCCAGCTGCGAATCAAATACATTTTACAAATATTTTCTTCCAGACTGCATTTCTAAATTTTATAGTTTGTACTTTTTGAGTCATAATTAAGAACTCTGTAAAACTCAAGTCACTAAGGGATTAATGTTTGCCTATAGAACTTTTTTCATGATGGGGATGTTTTTTTGTTGATAATTTGGGGGTTTGTGTTTTGCTTTGTTTCGTTTTTTGGAGGTGGGGGTTCTCCTTTTGTTGCCTAGGCTAGTTTTGAACTCCTACACTCAAGTGATTCCCTGTCTCAACCTCTGGAGTGCTGGACTACAGACATGTGCCACCACACCCAACTTTGAACTCCTGTTAATCCAGAACATTCTCCCCTCCTTACTTCACAAATACCTTTTGGTTCTTTTATTTTATGTGTATGAGTGTTTTTGTCTGCATTTATGTAAGTATACCACATGCCCAAAATGCCTACAGAGGCCAGAGAGGGCGTAGGATCCCCTGGAAACTGGAGTTATCAACAGCTATTAGCCACCATGGGGGTGCTAAGAACTGAACCCAGGTCCTCTGCAAGAGCAGCCAGTGCTCTTGACTGATGAGCCATCTCTCCAGCCTTCACACAACCTTTTAAATAACTGCTTTAAAATCAAATGGTGATAGGTCTTAAGACACAAAGCTTATATATGAGGCCTACCATTCTAGGAACAGTGTGAACTTGGCAAGTTACCAACCTCCTCCTGTTTCCTATCAGGACTCAGTCTTAATAATCACCTTTGAGGGAAATTGTGAGGATAAAAGATGGTTGCTTTTAACATGAAACAGCCTGCACTGAAAAATTAAACTGAAGCCTGTGACCTATCTAGTCTCTGGACCTCCCCGCTTAACCTCAAAGTGCCCCTGGGAACCTAACAAAAGTGAACAAATCTAATGGGAAAAAAAAAAGGAAAAGGAAAGGAAATTACGGGGTGTGCATTTATCTCTACTATGCAGAGTCACCTGGGAACTTCAGACCAGTGCTCACCTGGCAGCTCTCCCCACTGACACCTGGGCATTGCTAGAAAGGAAAATGCCCCCTTCATTCCACCTCACCCCCCTACAATAAGGCTGTACCACACATGCAAAATTTCCTTATCATCCCTGATAGAAATTCTGCAATTTTAGCTTTTATGTTTAGGTCTATAACCCATTTTGTATATTTTGTGAGGCTAATTCAAAAACCATTTGCTATATGGCTATTCAGTTTGCCCAACACCACTGTTACTAAGACAGTCTTTTTTTCCTCCATTGGATAGCATTAGTGCCTTCATGGAAAGTCGGGGCCATATGAGTGTGAGTCTTCTAGATTTTGGGTGGTGTTACATCAGTCAGTAGAAAGGACTGAATATCTGAATATTTGCCTCCTTCAACCCTGATCATATGTAGAAATCCTGTCAGACAATGGGCCGGTGTTAGGAGGTGGAGCCTTTGGGAGTGATTAGCTTTCAAAGAGGTCATGAGTGTGGGGCCTTTGTAGTAGGATTAGTGCCCTTGTAAGAAGACAGTGCAGGGCTATAGAGATGGCTCAGCAGTTAAGAGCACCGGCTGCTCTTGCAGAGAACCCCCAGGTTCAGTTCCCACCATCCACATGGTGATTAACAACCTTTGATGCCCTCCTCTGACCTCTGTCAACATTGCACAACACAGGTGTACCTACCTATATGCAGGCATTACAGTCATACACATAAAATGAAAATAAAAATAATAACTGTTTTTAAAAAGAGAAGAGACTCCAGAGTCTCCTCTCTCCAGCATGCAAGGCCCCACCAAGAATGGAATCTGCCAGCACCTTGATCTTTAACTTCCAGCCTTTGGAACTGTAAGCTATAAATGTGTGGTATAAGCCACCCAGTCAATGGGACTTTGCTAGTGTAGCCCAAACAGACAAAGGTGGGTGGTCTATCTTTATGCCAATGTTATATTCTCCTCATTATTGTAGTTTTGTAACTCTTGAAATCAGGTAATCTGAGTTCTCTATTGTTCCTTTTCAAAACTGTCTTGCATAGTCTAACTTTGTTGTTATTCCTACATCAAATATGTTGCTAGGATGTTAATTGGGATTTCATTCACTCCATAAATCATTTGGGGAGGATTGACATGTCAAGAAAATTAGCCTGGTGAACACCCACCCCTGATCCTGGTTGTCATAGGTTCCCCCATTACCCTTATGCCTGTCCTGCTGTGCCTGCCTTTCCTCTCCCCAACCCATCATTCTATGCAGCTAGCCTCTGGATCGTTTATCCCTCTCCTTCCTCACTTCCTGCACACTCTTCCTAAACAACCTCGCATGAACAACCATGTCTATGCCCAGAGAGCACTCCACACGTGTGCTCCTGTGACCCCTCAAACAGCAGCTGTACTGCTCGTTACTGCTTCCAGTGACAGCATTTATGCTGGATAGCTTTAGTGTCAACTTGACACACCTGGGTTGGGGGAGCCTCAATCGGGAAATTGCCTCTATTGGACTGGCCCGTGGCCATGTCTGAGGGGCATCTTCTTGATGAGTGATGTGGGAGGGCCCAGCCCACTGTGGGTGGTGCCACCCTTGGGCAGGTGGGCCTGTGTTGCATAAGAAAGCAGGCTGAGCAGGGGCCAGGAGAGCAAGCCTGTAAGCAGCATTCCTCCATGGCCTGTGCTCCAGCTCCTGCCTCCGGGTTCCTGTCCTGAGTTCCTACCTTGGGCTCCCTGATGAACTACAACCTGGGAGACGAAAGCTGAATAAACCCTTTCCTCCTCAAGATGGTAGTGGTCAGAGTGTTTTGTCACAGCAATGAAGAAACAAACTAGGACAGCATTCCACTGAGGGTAAGAAGCCTTTTCCAAGGCCAGGCCTTTCCGAAGGTGCTCACAGACAGGGAGACCCACCTGCAAGGCTGCAGAGAGCAACCTAGGAGCCCTGGTGCTGCTGGTGCTCATGGAGTGACAGGGTAGGACCTAGGAGGACAAACCTGCCACAAAAGACCCTGGGGCTGAGTTCATGGCAAGGTCATAGGTCACAGCTGCCATAGTGAGAATCCAGGGGAGTGCACCATGCTAGGCAAATCACCAGGGAACAAGAGTGCCAGGGATGACTATCACAAGGTCTTTAGGGGGGCTGAAACAATGTGCAGGGAACTTCAGGCCTTAGAGAGTCCTGAGACTTCATTTCAGTTTTCATTAGCAAGAAATTAGGGCCAATCAAACCCCGTGGAATTTCTCTGCTGGAAGAATTTTTCCCCACTCACCATTTTCCCCCCCTTCTTCCAGTGTTTGCAACAGCAACTTCCACTTTATGAACCCTTCCTCTGGCCCTTGGAAGTGTATATAAAATCTCTGTAAAACTTTCTGGTGGGGTGGGGGCAGAGGGAAGAGACTGGGTCTCATGCTATAGGCCACACTGACTTCAAATGCCTGGGGATCCTCCTGCTTCAGCCTTCCAATTGCTAGGATTATAGGCATGCACCACCAAGCTTGGTTTTGTAAACCTTTTAAATAAGCCTCCCACAAGCCCTACTGTCCTGGGAGGTTGCTGTGAAAGCCTCTCTCTCTTTCTCTCTCTCTCTCTCTCTCTCTCTCTCTCTCTCTCCACTTATCATCTCTATCTCTGTCTCTGTCTGTCTGTCTGTGTGTGTGTGTGTGTGTGCGCGCGCGCGCGCGCGCGCGTGCGCGCACATATGCAGGTGCAGATCAGAGGACAACTTGTAGGCGTGAGTCTGGGGCATGGTCTCCGAAGGCTGGGCTCAGGCTTGGGATGGGAGGTGCTCAGCACAGGACACTTGGAGAAAGCCAGCACCCCAGCTACCTGGAGCCAATGAGGTGTCTCAGAAGAGCACAACCAGCCCCTCTTGACCTCCTTGGCCCCTGGACGGGAAGAGACTGGTAACCCCAGAGGATGGGACCTCAACTTGGGCTGTAGTAACTGTCATAGCTCATTCCACTTAAGGGGTCATTGCTATTGTGGGACCTTGGGATGGCGGAGGGGGCTATAGCTACATCTGGAGGGTACCTGGAAACTAAGAACTTCAAAGTGGAGGATGCCAGCCAGGGAGACAGAAATAAGGAGCACTTACCCAGTCCCTGGAGAAGCCTTCCTCCAGAAGACAAATGCCTCCTCAATTATACATCATAAGGGCCGTTGGCTCTGACCCAGTTGCCACAGATCTAGGAAGTGTTTGGCAAACATTCCTGAGCTGGGTGAGGGAGAGTATGACTTACATATGACTACTGGATGGGCTGACTACACGCTAGTGGATGCATTTGCACTGAAGGACATTTGGGTACAAACACCTGAATGAATAGGACTTAGCATGTATGGCAGAGTGCATAGGGTTCAGTGGCAGGGGGTGGAAGGCTTGGATGGGGGAGGAGGTCTGGATGTG